TGAAGAGAATTTTTTAAGAATATCTCCAGATATAGAATACAGGTTGGTTTTTTCTATTTTTTAAGACTTCGATAAAGTTTTGAATGACCAATTTTAGGATAACAAGAGAATTCGTAAGATAAAAAAGTCAAGAGAATGATATTTCCTTGAAACTATGTGTCTCTATGAAGCTGCATCACAAGGCCACACAAGGGTAGATAAAAATTCACTGCAACCTTTCAGAGAGTTGGCATTAAGAGACTGAATATCAGTGTGAGCAATGTAATAGAGCCTTGTTACCAGTGTAGTTGGTCAGGAGCCAACACTTCCAAGCAGACCTGAAAAGCATGTTATATGCTGCTGTGACTTTCAAGTCACAAAGACGTCTTCAGTACTGAGATACCTGATTTGCTTCCTGCAGCTAAGGCAGAAGCAACAAAATCATCTATTACATCTATTATTGAAGTAGACAGAACACTTGGCATTTTGCTGCTTCCATTCTCTTTATTGCCTACCTGGAATTTTGGAGGATAGATTTGAGACTACTTAATCCACAGCAGCTGATTTACACTTTTTAAGTCCTGTATTGACTGGGTTGCACATACTTTGTTTATCTTTTGTTACCCTATATACACTGTCTGAATTGGCTTATGTCCTTTGTCACATAGTTGATGGAACATTAAGTAATATTTTAATTCCAGGGATTCCACAACTGCAGAATTATTCTGAGCTGCAAACACACTTATGAATATAAAAAAATTAAGCATTCAATGAAACTTGGAACTGCTGTACTTATACTAAAAGATTTTACGTTATAATTTTTAATCAATGGGATCTAGAGCATAGAGAACATTGTGTTGTGGAGAAAAAAAGCACAAAACCTAAAACTGCACATCAATTACACACTATGTAATCACTTTGAACTATTTACATACCTCCACAGATCATGTTTTTTTATAATATTTGCCTGTTGACACAGGTTTCTACTGTAATGTGATTATGCAGTGGTAAGTGTTTGGGAGATGACAAAATCCATGAAGTGGTAAAACAAAGGAAGTCTCTCACTTTGGACTCACACAAAACCTAAAAGGATCTAGTCCTGCATCTGCTGGTTTTACAGAAGTTCCTCTGAACATTTAGATGTTAACAGTGATTAAATTTAGGTTGAAAAAAATGCTGAAGATTAATTTTACTGATGATAAGTAGCTAAATTTATCCTTCGCTAATCAAATGTAGCAAACACTGTATATGTTCACTACAGTGAAGGTATTGCTTTCATGGCAGAAGCCACTAGTTTAATTTTAGGAGAGAGTGACAGTGAAGGTATTTTTTACTTTTGCGACCCTCTGCGTGAAACATCAGACTCCTTCAGCCTGATTCTCATGGCTATTTAGCAAAAGCAAGAGCTTGAGGCACTGTTCAAAGAGTATAGGATGTGGGATGCTTTGCCCAACATTTCTCTCTTGAAGACATACTGTAGTATTATATGATCTGTGCTGTTAAGTGATATTGTGCAATTATCCTAAAAGCCTAGCTGCACTACTTACTTCACCATCCTCTGTGACACTACCTTGGTGGGTTTTTAAAAATATTGTGTGAAAGTGATGCTGCATGAACCTTGTACTTTATAAAGTCTTTTTTTTTCCCACAAGATGAGGCTGCATTGAATATAATTGCACTGTGTGGGGTTAACTTTCTGTAGCCTGTTCCCTTTGACTTCAATGGCTTGAAATAAAAAATGAATCTCTCACAACAATGAGACTCACTTCTGATAACACTGGTCCATTGACTTCAATGAAACACTATTAAAAACTATTCTCAATTCACTTTAATAGTAATTCTTAACAGCATCAGACCACTGATTCCACCATCATACTTTCAAGACTGAATGTTCAAACACCTTGTTTCTTGTGGTTGTAGTTTGTTGACTTCCACATAAGCAGTATTGAATATTACCTCATATGAAAGAAGGAAGCATCTTGCAGACTTTTTTGCTAGTACCCTTTTATAATTTTTTTTAGGTGCACAGAGAAGATAAAAAACCCAGGATGATGTAGTAAAAATAAATGGATCAACATTCCTCCTTGTCCTTCATGAAAGTCATATGAAAGGTCCAATATGATACAAATATGTATTTTGCATATGCTTTTTTTTTTATTTTGGTGATGCTTTGTTTTGTGTGGACTTGGTTTTGGTTTGATTTTGGTTTGCATTTTTGGTTTTTTTGTTTGTTTGTTTGTTTTGCTTTGTTTTTAGCAAACTGCAGAATTCTTCCATTAAATTAAACTGACAATGGAGATAATTGGAGGAATGATGAACATGCTTGCTTTTGCCATCTTGCTTGAAACAGAGTACATCTCAACTATTACTCAAATTCATGACTGACTAAGGTGTGTTGCAGTTCTAAACCACTGTGCTGTACTAGAATGTTCTTCTTATACTTCCTGGTTTTTCAGAGGGAAAATATAAATGGAACTTTTTTTCACCCACCTACCCAGATCTCAGGTTTGTTCTCTGTTCAAGACATACATATGCCTTCTGATGTTTATGTATTAAAATTTGCTTGGTTTGAGCTCTTCAGAGTTTGTCATTCATTTGGATTTTTTTGTTGTAACCACTGATTTAACTTGAAAGAAATCCCTCTACATGCAAGACAATTTTGCCATTTTCCTTCAAAAGCCAGACAATTTATAGATGAGCTCAGACCAAATAAATCAAGCAAGATATATTTATAGGTCTAAAATACCATATATATTACTATATATTTTTAATCAACATCATACTGTCACTCTGAAGAAATAATTAGCTCTTAGCAGGTCATACACTTCTGCTGTCCAAGCAGACTCTGTTGCTGGTATCCAGCCTAGGACACCAGAACAGCCACTATTCAGAGTCAGTCAACGGATATGGCTTGTGTTCATTAGTAATGAGGTGAGCCACCTTGGTTTCCCTGCACTAATTCACCTGAATGATGGTGTAACTACAATTATTTTTAGATTGAGCAATGTCTCCACAAGAGAATGTTTACAGTAATTCTGAACAAAGAAACGGAGACATACACACATTAACTTCAGTACTTAGTGGTGGTAAAAGGCATTGACTCATCTTTGGCTCCCCAGTTCCTTTTCTTACAGCATGAACCCTTGAGAATCCTCAATTTACTTTCCAAACGAGGACTGTGTCTCAGACAGTGGTCTCTGTTTTGGGTTGACTAGATTTCTGAATATTTTGTATAAAAACCAGTGGCCTAGCATTCAAAGTTACCAAGAGAGTCAAATTCTAGTTTCTTTATATGATAATGAGGATTCAACCCTGGAACTCTTTAAATGTTAGTAGTAATTTTATCATCCTGCAGCATCATAACTGAACCTAATAACAAATCACTGGGCATCTGCCTGCAAAACTATGTTATTTTTTCAATCATGGAATAATGTTTTTGAGCAGTCTTGGGAATCTGGAGAGGTCCCAGCTGACTGGAAACTGGTGAACGTTGTCCTAATTTTCAAGAAGGACGAGGAGGACGACCATGGAAATTACAGGCCCGTCAGTCTCACTTCAGTGCCTGGTATGGAAGTTATGGAGAAGATTATTCTGGGAAGTATTGAAACACACATGCAGTTACTGGTCACAGCCATCACAGCTTCATGAGAGGAAAGTCCTGCTTATCAACCTGATTTCCTCTTATGACAAGGTAACCCACCTAGTTGATCAAGGGAAGCCAGTTGATGTAATCTTTTTGGATTTCAGTAAAGCTTTTGATATTCTCTCACAGGATCCTTCTGGACAAAATGTCCAGCACACAGATGGATAAACACATCATGTGGTGGGTGAATGGGGTGACATCAGACTGGTGACTTGTCACCAGCAAGGTTCCACAGGGCTCTTTCTTGGGCCCTGTGCTCTTCAACATCTTTGTAAGTGACTTGGATGCAGGACTGGAAGGGATACTAAGCACATTTGCAGATGACACAAAACTGGGAGGAGCTGTTGACTCCCTCGAAGTCAGGGAGGCCCTGCAGAGAGACCTCGACAAATTACAGGACTGGGCAATCACTAATCCTTTGAAGTTCAACAAGGGAAAGTGCAGGATGTTTGTACAGGCTGGGGAATGAGATGCCGGAAAGCAGTGCAATGGAAAGGAATCTGGGGGTCCTGGTCGAAGAAAGTTGAATATGAGTCAGCAGTGCCCTGGCAGCCAGGAGGGTCAACCATGTCCTGGGGGGCATCAGGTAAAGCATCACCAGGCAGCTGAGGGAGGGTATTGTCATGCTCTGCTCTGCACTGGTGTGGCCTCACCTTGAGTATTGTCTGCAGTTTTGGGCACTGCAATATAAGAAGGTTATAAAGCTATTATATGTGTCCAGAGGAGGGCAATGAAGATGGCGAAGGGCCTTGAGGGGAAGCCGTGTGAGGAGCGGCTGAGGTCATTTGGTCTGTTCAGCCTGGAGGAGACTGAGGGGACACTGCAGTCTACAACTTCCTCATGAGGAGAAGAGGAGGGGCAGACACTGATCTCTTCTCTGTGGTGACCAGTGACAGGACCCAAGGGAATGTCCTGAAGTTGTGTCAGGGGAGGTTGGATACTAGAAAGAAGTTCTTCACCCAGAGGGTGGCTGGGCACTGGAACAGAGGATGGTCCTGTGCAGGGCCAAGATTTGGACTTGATGATCCTGATGGGTCCCTTCCAACTTGGGATATTCTATGATTCTGTGATTCTGTGAATGTGTGTATGATAAAATGCAGAATATCAAAATGGAGTTCATACAAAAAAAAATATTGTTTGATAATTTCAAAGGTACATTCAAGTTAGCATGTATATCACATGTATATAGTATATTTGTTTTTTCTCCTTTTTTTTTCTTTCCTCAATGCTTGTTTTCCTTGAAAACCACATTAAGAGATATCCTTTTGGTTTTTAAAGATCTTCCTAACAATGAAGACAACATATATTTTAAACTCTATACATTATGTAATTTAACTCCAGCCGTGTGTGATCCACAAACCAAACAGCACCATATGAATGCATGTACACAGTCTATTACAGATTACAGGACTTACAAGTAAAAGGAAGACAGAACGATTTGCAATGTCAAGCATCATCTGTTATAACAATAGGTTTGAAGAGTTTAGAGTCTCTCAAAAGTCAAAATATTTTCCATTATTCCCACTCATAGACTCTTCTTCACCTAAAAAGCAAATGTAAAAGAGTAACATTACTGGAAGTAGCAAGGATTCATAATAAGAATATTCTGAAAGCTGAGAATATTATTGATATTTAAACTGAATATTTCTTCTTCCTATCTTCAGATATGCAAACTTTGAAGTATTATTAATGCATACTGTAAAAAGTAAGGTGTACAATGAGTTCAAGAAAAATCTAATCTTGTTTTTTTTCTACTTCAGGTATTTGATATATCAGTTTTAGTAATTTTATTAATTTGAGATTTTCTTGTATATAATGTCTTCTTTGTTATGCAGATTTTCACCCCTTGTACTTCTCCATAACCTAAATACAGTTGACTAACACCGATAAGAATCAAAAGTTCAGCTTTAGGAAGAGTAATAGAGTATAGTATGTTCTAGATAAAACTAATCACTGTGCTTGGTTGGCATATAGTGAAGGACTGGATACACAGACAACTTGTTATGGAATTGATGGCACAGAAAATAGTGTAGGCTGTTAATAACATTCTTCAAGATAAAATTATAACTTTTCAATTAATTCGGTGATTGCCTTTGAATATTGAAAGTTACTGCTATATGATCTGGATATCTCAAAAAACATTAAAATTTTACTTGTACCTGCTTGATAGTTTTTATCTACATGTGGTTTTATTATTTTAGGATGATATATAGATTTAGTTCAATTAAAGGAAGTGATTTTTTCCTTTTTTTTTTTCCTAATGAAACTTCTCATGATGCTATAGTCAGACAAAACCATTTCTTCAAAAAACTGTTGCAGAAATTGAGAAGCTGAGGAGACAATAGTGATTATTAGAAGTTGCAACTATAAATAAAATCTGACATTGTGCAGATGTTGTTGCTGCTGTCGTAATATCTACTTGCATGGATTCTCAATATTTCCTCTTGTTCCAGACTAAAAAGGCCACATCTATATAAAATGAAATACGCTTGAAGATCTGTAGGGTTTTTTTCCCAGAATAAAGGACATATTTCAAAAGAAATGATAGTTTGGCTGCAGGAGTTCCCTTGCTTTTTCTTCCCTGTTATGTACAGAGAGGAAATAGGTGATGCCCTTAGCAAGTAATAACTGTCACCAAGCAATCCTACTGAAGGAGCAGAAATGCAGTCATTACTGGCTGTCAAATTATTAAAAGCAAATGAGTATCCATATTGTGGCAAAAATAAAAAAGGTACAATAAAACTTCTTTAATGAATTTTGAACTAAGACAAATTATAATTTTCTTCCAATAGACATCCATATCTACCCAAACTATACATACTCTAAAGCCAAATATATGTTGCCTCAAATGTGCAATGAAGAGAACAATGGCTTAATTCTGTAATATTTAAAACATATATTGATGACCAGGAAATCACATTATGTGTTTTCTTCAGAGAGTCCATCCAATATGTTGCCAATACCTAATAGAATTGAGACTCAAAAGTCATAGATATGTTTTCTATGTTATCCAGTCATGAGTACAAAAATGAGAAAATGTGATACACTTTGAAAAGAGAAGAACGTTAGGCAGCCTTCCTAAGTTCCAGTGAATGAACTAATCAACTTTATTTAGACAAAAACTACAGTCCAGTACTTTCTGATAATGAAAATACACTTTGAAGTGGCGAGAATACTTACAACCAAAGAACAAAAAAACCAACAGAGAGAAATGCAAGTAAAATGGATGTAGGTCTGTCAAGAGAATAATGCTACCTCTTTAAGCTGTCTGACAGACCATGTAAAAATACTAGAAAGGTTTGTATTTTAACACAAGAAGGTTTGAAATTGAAAGAGTAAGATTTGAGATGTGTTTGAACTTTGAAGATCACCTGTGAGTATGCTCAATACTTGAATTTTTTGATTAAAAAAAAAAAAAAGAAGAAAAACTTTGGACAATCATCTTCTTCCCAGGAGGAACTGAAACTGCAGAGTAATAAATAGTTATAAATAAGAATGGTACTTTGTTAGAAATTCCAATGCTTGAACAAGGACGCAATTTCGGACAGGCTAGCCTGTATTCAAGTCTTTGGCACATATATATCCTTATAAGTTTTGATTATTTTTGGAAAAACACTAAGACCAAAGATCAGAGTATTTATTTCTGATTCTTATGTATGCTTGAAGTTTCAGAAGCTGTTAGCAGAGCCACAGATCTACATGGCTGCCCGCCTGGGACCATGCTACCCAGGAACATAATGCACTGTCTTCAATGAGTGGAAAAGTAATGCTGTTATAAAACAGAAAAAACCCACCCCACTGACTACGGAGAAGCATGGCTTTAAGGATTTAGCATAGCTTTAAACTGTACTGGATGCAACTTGGACAGTAAGGGAGGAGATACAGGCATGGGTAGTCTTGTGAATATTCTTGTTCAATGTTCATTACTGCACGACTCAGCAGAGCACTGATGGTTGCTCCCAGAGAAGAAAGTGGACTGTACTAGGCTTGTCTGAAAGAACTCTGAGTGAAAGCTCAATGCTTTTCTTTGCTGTATGTATAATTAACTTGGATTTGTTAATCAAAAAATTATTGGGAAAAGGAGAGCATATTTCTTCTGCTTTTCTTTTTCTGTTTCTTTTGAATTAGAAGAGAATGACTACTTAGTAAGGGAAAGGGTGAGAATCCTCCTCTAAGAGGAATCAAAAACCTTGAGCTACCTACTGATCCTGTCTTTTCAGGACACACCAACAGCTGCTTCTTCAAATTATTGTGGTTTGGGAGCACTGACAGAAGCTAAAAATAAATGTAAATAAATAAAAGGGGAAAGTATGTTGACTATCCCTGTGTTCTTTTAAAGTTTCACTTATCTTACAGATGAGTAGAACCAAAAATCTGAATGTGGTGAGAACAAAGGATAATATGCTGACATGTCTTAGAAGCCCTGGAGATAAAAAAAAACCCTACCTGATTTGTTTTTCCACTTTCTAGAATTAAGTTGTGTGGTATGAATCAGGTTTTTGTGAAGGTGGAAGCAGCACAATTTAGTTGTGGTTTCCATGACCCTAATTTGATGTCAATTTGATGTCAAGCAGATTACTCTACTTTGGAGGCATAAGACTGATCTTGAAGACAATGGAAATGGATACACAGGTGCTAAAACTGCCTGGAGGAACATCACAGGTTAGACACTCTGGAGAAGCAAGTAGAGTCTGAAAAAAATGAGCTGGTTACCTCTTGATCTGCTGGAGGTGCTAGAGAATTTGTGGGGGATCAACACTGCAGGAAACGTCTAGCGCTAAGAGATAACTCATTCACCAAAATTTGGGGCCAGAGCAAATATACAATACAGGAGAAATTGACTTTAATACTGATGTTCCAGCCTTGGAAAATGAGCTGTCCTCTGTCATTACACAGTGGGCCAGAGGTGCTCTTTTGCTTTCACACAGAGAGCAAATTACACAATCTGATAATAGGGAAGACATGATACTCCTTTCTGAGAAGGCTTCATTGGTCAGAACATGCCTATGTACATACTTCTGGGTGTGTAAGCAATGTATCAGTCTTTCTCCACTCTGGACTCCCCATGCTTGAAAGGCTCTCAGCTACTGGTACCAATGAATGAGATCCTAAGATTAGCCTCAAACCTTTGCTGCATTTTCCCAATGGCAGCACAGTGTGCTAATCGCTGAGCCATTGGGATAGCACTGCAGGGTATTCTTCTAATAGTTTTTCTAGTTCTTCCACTGATGTCCTTATACATCTTTTATGATCTCGACAGTGATGTTACTTTCCCCAGGCACTTTTCTTCTATCTTACTCTATGCTTGGGGGTTTTTTTGGTTTGTTTTTTTTTTGAATGCAGGGGGAAAGGGGCTACCTTAAATTTGCCCTTCATTCCTAGAGCAACCTTTCAGAAAAGACATTTCCCTCATCTGCTCTTCCAACCCTGAGTACATGTCAAGGAATTGTGAAGATGGAAAATATTTCAGTCTTTCCATTTAAGTTGTGATGGTCTTTTTCCTGACTTTATGTTCTATTTAGAGGTTTTTCTTCTAAACAGAAGAACAGACAGTGTTTTTGGACTTAAAATTAAACTCCGAATATTTTCTTTAAACTGCACTCATTGGGTTCACAAAGAAATGAAAACAAAATACAGCACGTGACATCATTTGAAAGAGCAAATTTTGTTATCATATATAGTTCTAGAAATAAACTGTATTTTTTTAACTGTGGCTCTTCCCTAATATGCAGTGCTGATAAATAGTAAAAAGGAATTCTTTCCTAACTAAATATTTCTCTCACATTATATATATATATAAATTCCTCTGGGAATAACTTGAGCAATATAACTCGAGATAGGAGGTAGCTGATATATGTGAGGCATTAATATGAAAAATATTTTCACTGCATGTATGTTATAAAGCTCTTGAATATTACAGGTAATAAAAGTATAGGCCGGTTAAAGACTTCCTGTATCCCTGTTCTGCTCATAATATTTTTCCTGTAGGTTCATCTTTTGTTTTCTTCTCATCTGTTATTTTCCTTTTCCTTCTCATCTTACATTCACTATTATTCAGGGCACCTTTTGAGGAGCTGCTTCTGCTTCCAAATGATGATACATATTGGTAGCAGCAACCAAAGCAACAGTCAGTGAACACTTGTAGAGATGGTGAGTTGTAAAATAATAAATCAAATATTTAATACTTAGACAGAAGATGTGGACTTTATCTACACTTAATGGGTGGGGAGGCTGATTACTCATTCATAGCTACACCACTTGTGAATGATGAGGTCACCCCTATCTCAAGAAGATAAATGCCATATCCTGTTATGACATATTCCTTTTATATAAAATTAGTTCAATTTTCTCACTAGTGAGGAATCAGTATAACTAAAAAAAAAAATCACTTCAAGATAAAGGCATTTTTCTATTGTAATTCATTATATATCCTATTTTCATTTTATTTCTGTTCTGTTTTGTTCTATCTTATCCTGTTCCACGTATACCATTTTACTCTCTACCTAAATGATATCTGACTAAAGTGAAGCAAAAATTAGACGATACAATGAAGCTTTGTAGCATTCTCCCTCATACCTGTCACAGGCTCCTTCCAACAGCAGATAATGAAAATTCAAAGTCAAACCGTTTAACTTTAAGTAAATGGAAATGAATTTCCATTGAAGAGATATTTTTTCACCTGTGAAAGAAAGGAACAGTAGTACACTGACAATGCGAATAAAGATATAACATATAATTGTGATAGGGTGGTATATGAAAAGCATAAATATTGAATGTTATTGTATTACACACTGTCATGTGTTTTTAATTTTTATCTTTACTGTGTTTTTGCCTAAGAAAGGAAAGTCTACAGTACATAGTTAGAAACAGTAGTACTTTATTAGGATAATTCTTTTCTTAATCAATACTAAAGCAACTTGCAGCATATCTTGGAATAGTATATGGTATTGAGACAAAAACTATGTCGCTAAGACACCAGAAGCTGTCAATAGTTTTATCAAAGTAAGAAATAAACTAAATTAAAAATATTGGGGTTTATTCTCATCTCATTTCCTCTAGCATGCTGCACCAAATTAATTTAAATCCATCATGGTATGTTTTATCACTGGTGAAATATGTAGCAAATTGGGTCCATGCTATTTAATATGGCCCAGAGTATAAGCTTGATGATGGATATTTTCATCAGTGTATAAAATAAGTCTCAGAAATTCCTACTGGATTTTACCACTGTGATTAATTTTGGGGGAAAAAAGATACAAGCAATCAAAATGGACTTTTCTTCAAATATGAGACAATCTTTTTTATTTGATATCTTTAAGAGTTATGACAAAGAAAATGCTTCTGTATTCTATAGACATTCACAAACCTACCTTTGAATCCTGCTCATCTTCTAACATACAAAACTATTTGCAAGTGGTTCCAGTGACTCAGTGGGTTTACTTGTGCAAGCAAAGTTATCCAGACTGACTTTCTGTTTACATTAACACTTAAGATATTAATCAATAGTCATAAAAGATCTTATTAAATATCAGAGATCCTGGTTCTGCCTACACAGATGAAAAGCAGTGACTCTCGAGACTAAACTGAAGCAAGGTTGGCTAAAGGCAGGCTCTCTGTCCTGGCTGTCTCTTTGAAACATGAAAATCTGCTCAGAGTTGCCACTGTAGAGCAAAGAGTGACAATCAATGGATGGGGACTTCGACATGATTACATCCACTCTACTGCCTGGCCATACACTGACAGACAAAACTACTGTAATGGAGTGATCATTTGGAAAATGGCTACTGCCCACATTTAAATTCCTTTCAGTGTTATTCCATAGCCAATTAGAGTGGTAGCCCAGCCTATATTCATGCCAGTCTTGTACTATAATGTAAGAAAAAGGAAAGGAGCAGCTCAGAAGTCTTTAATTATTCCTCCAGCCATTTATTGACCTGCTCTCTAAAGGCCATATACGGGCCTTCATCTGCATGCAAAATTCCTATTGACATCACTGGGAGGGCCACAGGCAGATGGAGGGTTACTTTGTAAACCTTACATTTTAAATATGTTGTAAGAGAAAGGCACAGAATTGTCAGTCCTTAAAAAAAGTGAGCAGCTTTATCTAATATTTGTCTTTAAACATGGAGTTTGAATAATATTTTTCCTAGCAATAACATCCCCCCTCTTCTCTGCAAGCTATCTAACCTACACGTTTCTGTAAAGTCTTCGTATTTAACACTCAAACAATTGATGTCCCTATAGAATAAACAGGATAGATAATGAATATAAGTGGGATAGAAAATTAATCCTACTTGCGAGGAAAGAGAGTCATAATTCACTTAGGCTTCTCAGCTCTTACGTTATGAGGTCTTCAGCTAACTCATGGGATCCATTCCACATCCCACAGATGCTCATTATGAATTCTTTTTATGTGCAACATGTGGGGACTAACCAGTTTCATATCTCCTGGTATTAGCTGCAATACAAAGCATTTTGTATTAAAAGAGAATGCAAACACAGATGTTATTTAATACAAAGGATTTGAATGCAGTCTCTGTTTTAACATAAAGTTGGTGTGTCTTAATTTGCTTTGGAACAGCAATGGACAGAAAAGTCAAGATAAGAGAATACTGTTACATTAGGAGACAAGCTATGATTCCAAAAGGCAAACAGTTGCATGGGAAAAGGGGAGACTGGCCCAGGTGACAGCTTTGATTCATGGAAGCAAAGGTTGTAGTGCCTGGGACACCTGCCCTCTTCTAAGATGCTGTCATAGCCTTTCCAACACTAAGCATACTCTGGAGTGTTGCTACCTGTGTTCTGTCCCGTGCAACTCCTCTTGGTATGAGTCTCGGTTTCCTCAGAAACGGCGTAGCATCACGGCTGCTATTTGTGTAATGTGCACTAACACAGTGCGTTACTTTCTTTTCTAGCTGTCCACTCACTAGTCTGGTGAAAGGTCCAGTTCTTCTCCACGTGCACTACACTTTTTAGCTCCGGCAATCAGCAACTTGGCTTCCAGGGCCGTGGTTTTCGAGTCACCCCAGAAGCCGGGAGGTCTAGTGAGACCCTACTGCGGGAGGGAGTCCCCTTTTCTCCCGTTCCTCTGCCGACCCTGACGCGGCACAGCCGCTATGCTCCCTCTGGGACGGGCTCCTCGCCCCTCGATTCCCACTGCAGTTGCGGGAGGAGGGAGCGCGGAGTGCGGCCCCAGCGGCTCCCTCCGAGCATCGTGGCGAGGAAGCCTCGTGCCTCCGTGCCCACTCCCACCGCGGTTGCGGCTCCCAAAGCTGAAGCAAGGAAGGGGAGACACTGGGGAAAGGACGAGACACCGGGGATGTCCGCCGCCGACCCGCGCAACTTTCCGCGCTTCCTTCCCGGCGCTCACCCACGCGCAGCGCCGCGGCCAGGCGGGGTCGGCGGCGGGCAGCCCGGCCGGGGCAAAAAGCAGGGGCAGTAGCGCGGTCCCGGCGGGCTGGCGGAGCCGCGCACCGCCGCGGCCCGGGATAAGCATTTGGCAGAGGTGGAGGAGGGCAAACCCGCCCGAGCGGGGGCAGAGGGGGCTCCGCGCAGCCCCGGGTGGCACAAAGGCGCCGCGGCGCTGCGGCCGCGCGTCCCGCGGGGGCGGCGGAGGCCGAGCTCCTCCGCGCCGCTGCCGGTGTGGTGTGTGCCGCGCCCGGAGGGGAGCTCTGCGAGGGGGCTCTGCGCACCGGCGGTATAATTGATATGTTGAAGCAGCAATAGGGATCAGTGCGTCCAGAGACAGCACACACCTTACAAGTTTGACTCGCAATAACATTGCTGCACACTAGGAGGGGAGGAGAGTCAGCTCCCTAGAATAAGGAACGAACTCTGCCTTTGCACAAAAGCGGCGCATTTCCTCGCTTGTGAAAACCGTCCCTTCATAGAGAGAAAGAAAAGGGAAGGGGGGTGGGGAGCAAAAGCAAGTTACCAAGAGCAAGAACTTGTGCTGCAACAATCCTCCACTCTTCCTCTTCTCGTCAGGCCTCTGGGAGCAGGGATATTCCTCCCCCTCCCCCCCCCGCACAGTTGGCGCTAGCCCAGACTGTGGTCAGCCGCCTTTATTATTACTTCATTGAGACAGAGAAATCCTCTAAGACTTGCATTTTGGGTGGAGGGTGGGGGGTGGAGGGACGAGAAGGAGGAGGGAAAAAAGGCAACATTTGCTGCTCATCATTTTCACTGCACCGCTAAAGTAATTGCGCCCCCCTCTCTCCTCCCCGTCCCTCCTCGGCTTGGATTTTTCTCCTATATCTACAGCTCCGGTAGTATAAGACATACCTTTTTTTTTCCTCTTTTTTTTTTTTTTTTTTTAGCTCTGATATTCACTTCCTCCCACCCCCCACAAAAGCTTCACGCGTTGCATGTTTGCAATTCGGTAAATTCCCCCCACCTCCTCTTTACCCCCAGCCCCCCCAAACTCCTCAGTCTCAGCCCAGGCGCTCACATCAAAGCGCCCGTCCTCACTCACAGTGGCCGCCACTCACTAATGGGATTGCAGTGTGCCTGGCTCTGCTGCTGCAGCCGCCGGAGGGAGAGTCGCTGCTGCTGCACCTCTTCGCCGACACTCGCCGGGTGCTGAGCCGCGGGGATGATCAGGATCTTCCCGGATTTCAGCGTGCAGGTGACGGCGGCGGCGGCGGCCGGCGGGGCGGCCGGGGGGGTGCCGGCGGCACCGGGCATGGGGCGAGCCGGCGCCGCGGCCAACGGCAACCCGCAAAACGTCCAGGGCATCACCTCCTATCAACAACGGTGAGCATCGAGGGGGAGAGGGCTGGCGGCTCTTCTTGAGGCTCCCTCACTTGCTTTTCTTTGTGCTTTTGTGTTTCTTTGTTTTCCTTTTTTTTTTTTTTGTGATCTCTCCTTTCTGTTTGTTGGGGGGAGCTTGGTTGGAGGGGAGGGTGGTTTGTTTGGTTTTTTTCTTTTTTTTTTTTCTTTTTTCTTCTTTTTAAAAATACAGCATCTTTTAAAATGCACTGAGAAGTAAACAAAATCTCCTAGTTTTGTCTTGGATGAGCTGGAAAGCAACAACAGAAAAAAAAAAGAAAAAAAAAGTGAGACCCCGGCATCTTAGCTTGGCTGCTCCAAAGTTTGGGATCCCGTCCGCTCATCCTTTCTAAAGAGGAATTTCTCAATGTCAATGCCTTGTGCAAATCCCAGTGTGTGGCAGCCAGGGGGATAATTGATCATGCTATGCTGATTGATAATTTTCTTTCAACCAAGAAAGAGAACAATTTTCACTTGGGGTTACACACTTGCAATTCCACATTGTAGTTTTAACAGTATTATCATGTCACCTGTTACTACAGGGAAATATAACAAGAAACCCTAAGTATACTCAGCACTGCTATTTTTTCATCTTAAATGCATTCTGATGCAAATGCAGGAAATTCACAGAGAGCGCCTTTAGGAAGCAAAGCGTAGAAAGTTGGCAGTAAGTCATAATGAAGTTTAAAGACCTTCCCCATTCCCCCTAACAATTCATCTATATGTGCTGATACTAACATGAAGCTTAATTAATTACCTGACATTTCTTTGTGTTTCTATGAGCCAAAATCTGAAGTCTGAATCTGTTATTTTGCTCTATCATAAGCTTATAACGGAAGCTGAATTTTCAAACAAAGTAGATGACAACAGATGTACTGAAATCGGAACAAAACATTTACAGTTCTCTAAATGCAATAAAAATGGCACTGTCTTGAGTATCTTGCTTTCCACTATTACATTAAATTAAATACCGAGAAAAATGCTGTGTAATCTCAACTGTCCAAACAAAGTATCTCTATGATGTAAAAGAAAAAAAATAGGAAATTTCAACATAATACTTCAAAATTAATTGGTCTAGGAACCAGATTTAGGCAATCGACCATTGCCTGTTTTGTTGTTCAGCAACTTTTTGTTGCTTCCTATAGTTTCGAAGCGTACGATAGAAACGTTTGGTAGTAACTTTTGTTGGTTTTATTAAAGGAAAAGTAATAGGGAGCTGACAGTCCTGAAATAATCCCTTATGATGCCTAAGCATGTTCTTAGCTGAGAAACATTTGAAACTAAGTAGGAGTCTTGTTTTGCTCAAGCAAACACAGCAAGCTTTCATATACTAAAAAAAAAAACCAAACAAAATTGAATGGGAGAGATATAAAGAACAGATTAAAGTTTATTTCTTTTCACGGTTTCTGTATGATTTTTGTCACTTATAAAATATTTAATTTACAATGGAAACTGACGGACACTTTAACGAGGAAGTACAGGCAGCAATCACAATAGTTTAGTCTGTGAAGTGGGGAAGTCAAGGGTCAGAAATGTCAGATTGGCTTTTAGACAAATGAAAGAGACCTCTGGAGACTTAAACAGAATTATATAGACAAGGCAGCATGCAATTTTTTAGTACTTTTTAGTTTGGTTATGCCAGTCTGTAATCAGGAAGAAGTTATAAAAACAATACTTCTCTGACAAACTACTAACACCTCTAATCCAAATAGTGCTTAGCAGATATTCAAGTACTTTGACCACTAGGAATCCAGACGAGTCTGGATGTCTCGCACACTAAGGTAACAAGGAGAAACAATTACGCACTTCTTCCAAATTTTGACTATATATTATCGCCAAAACAGCGTGGTTTACGTCGAACGAATTTCCTCTGTGCTTTCTGAAAACGCTAAAAACACAGCAGAAACCGGCACCTCCTTAGTCTATTGCCACAGTCGAGGAGACACCTGTTAACTTTTTTTTTCCCCTTTCGGAGGCGAGGAGGCAGGATTGTCGGCCGCGAACGGCATCTGCTGCTTTGCAGGCACCCCCTCTCCGCAGTCCTTCGCATCCACCTTGCACCCCCGGTATCTCCCGCCGCCCCGGCGGCTCTGTCCTGCCCTGCTCTCCCCGAGGTCCCGCCGCCGCCGCCGCGGGGTCGCGGCTCCCGAGCCCCGGGGCCGCCGTCCCGCCGCCGGCTGCGCACGTGCGTAGCGGCGCGAGCGTGCGGCGGTGCCCCCGAACGGCGCCCGCGTGCCCCTGCCCGGGCTCGAGGGCGGCCCGCGCCGCCGCGCGCGAAATCCCGCCGGCCCGGTTGCCTCCCGCGGGAAGGAACCCCCCGGCCCCCGGTGCGCGGGCGGCGCCACGCAGCCAAACTTCCAGGTCTTTTGCTAACTTATTCTCCCTGGCTCTGCCCTGCGGTTCGTGCGCGCTCTTAGACATCCGCCCTCCCCCCCCCCCCCCCCCCCCCCCTACAAAAACTTTTGGAGTTGTCGCGGAAACGTTTCCCGTGAATGAATGCTCCCGACATTCGGGGCTTGCTCCTTTCCCCAAGGAAGCCCTCCGGATTTTCCCAGGGAGCAGGATCAGGCCCGGGCAGCTGTACTTCCAAGGCAGCAGCAGAGCAGCCACAAAGTTACCTTGGAGATGGAAAGCTTTTAGTGAAGGAGTGATTTCTCCTGTAAGAGCTATCAGCGCTCGGATTCTCTCGGTGTCCTGCAAGGAACAATTAAGGTAGCGGTTTCTTTTCCCCGCTCCTTTATTTAATAGTTAATTTCATAATCCTCAATAAAACAGCGTGAAGTGCTACATCCTTTACCAACAAAGCGAGTCATCGCTCTCAGTTCACATTTCCAGCATTACGCCTTTTTAGCCCGCCACTACCCGGTGCCCACTCTCTGGACGTGCGGGCACATTCTCGGAGGTGCCTGGGGGGTGCGTGGGGTTTCCCCGGGCCCGGCCCGTCTGGGCTGGCGCCGGGCACCTCTAATACGGCCCTGGGGGTCGCAGGGAGCGCGCACCCCCCGGCCCGCGGCTCCCATCCCATCCTGTCCTCCGCCGTGGGAAGCCCACGGGGGACACGCTGCCTTTGCCCGTTGTGTACCCGCCGCCCTTCTGCGCCTGTGGAGCTTCAGAGAGAGTCCCTGCCTCCCTCTGCTCCTCTTCCCTGCTGGAGCCCACACTCCAGAGGAAGAAAGTGTGCGAAACTGCAACTGAGTGGCGTTGTTGCGCCGGCAGCGGAGGCTGTGTCCCCTGCACGCAGAGCGGGAGCGGAGCTGGGAAAGCAGCTGGAAAATGCCCAGAAATACTTTCACAGTGGTCAAGCCTGGAGATCCCTGACACCCCTCCTTCTCTCCCCCGCCCCCGCCCCGATAGCCCCATGGCCTGGCACCCCGCGTAGCCCGGCCCGCGGGCGCGTGTGTGTGCGGGAGTGCGTGTGCGAGCGTGTTTGTGTGTATGTGTGTGTGTGTGTGTGTGTGTGTGTGTGTGTGTGTGCGTGCCGCACCTGCCGGGCGATGCCAGCGGCCGGGCTGCCCGCCGGGGCTGCGCCGCGGCTCGCGCTTCCCGCCGCCGCCGCCGGCCGCCGCCGCTGCCTGCGCTGGGCATGTCTCTGGGGCCGGCGGGGCCCCGGCTCCCTCCGCTCCTCGGCTTATGGACGGCGGCAGCGGCAGCAGCAGCGCTAGCAAGCAAGCGAGCAAGCAACCTGCACCAGGACTGCGCGGAGGAGTGGGAGTCCGCGATGCTTTGGCCTCAGTACTTTTCCTTAGCCTGTCTGGCTAACCGGGGCCATTGCTGCCGCCGCTGCTGCTGCTAGACACACAACACACACCAACATCAGGAGGGGGAAAAGTAAGGGAGAGAGGAGAAAAAAAAAAAAAATCCCAGGAAGATGGCGCCCACCAAGCCAAGCTTTCAGCAGGATCCTTCCAGGCGAGAACGGTAACACTTTCTCTTTATTGAACCTGCAGCAGCAGCAGCAGCAGCAGCCGCAGCAGCGCCGGGCCGGGCCGAGCCGCCGCCGCCCGGGGCCAGGGCTGGCTGCCATGCCGGGGTGGGGGGACCTGCCGCCGGCACCCGCTGCTCGCACAGCCGGGCACCGTGAGTTCCTCCTAGTGCGCACCGCCAGCCGCACTCACACGCACAGGCACACACACACACGCACAGGCACACACACACACACACACACACACACACACACACACACACACACACACACACACACACACACACACACTCTCAGAACAAGCCGCGCAGCAGCGGCCCCGCTCCGGTGGCCGCACCGCCGCGGCTGCCGGAGCCGGTGCTTGGCGGGGCGCGTTGTGGAGCGGACGTGTGTGTGTCTGTGTGTGTGTCTATGTGTGTGTGCGTCGGGGCGGGAGGCCCCCCCGGGCGGCCCCCGCCGCTCGGCGGCCCCGGGGCGCCGCGCCAGGCCCGGCGTTCCGGGCGGAGGGGCCGGCCCCGCCGGTGCGGTTCCAGCGCGGCTAGGCCGGAGCGGGGGGGGCGCGCCGCCAGCTGCGCCCGCGGAGCTGCCCGCCCGGCCCCCCCCGCCCCGCCGCCGCCGGGAGGGCCGCGGATGCCGGCGCCCCCCGGGGTGGGTAGAGCGGAGCCGGTGCGCGGGAGGGGGGGAGGCGGTGCGCGGGGTCCGGGAAGGGAGGCGGGGGGATCGCACTACCCCTCTTTTGGTTCCCGACCCGCCGCCTGCCCCATGTACTTTTGTTGGTGGAGAGTGCTTGCGATTAATCTGCTCTGCTGGTGACACGAATTGCCCGTAGCGGATTTGTTCTAGTAAAGTGAATCTTTCTAGAAGTGACTGGTAGGAGACAAGAGTACAAGTT